TGCTCTGAAGCCATTGGAAAACATGCTCAAAAATAATTTTCATCATAAAAAATAGGTAGGGGGCTGAGGTGGTAGCTCAGTGGAAGAGTGCTTGCTTAGCATGCACAAGGTCTTGGGCTCAAAGCCCAGTATCAAAAATAAAAATTAGATAAGAAAGATACTTGAACTTGTTATATTCACATTTAATGCCCAGAGTGTAGTTATTACTTGTTTTGAAAGAATATAAATGCTGTATGTCTACACTATGGGGAAGAAACATATTCTAAATCACTAATTGATGAAAAAATAATTTGGAAGATGTTTTGGATATTGAATGCATGCTTTTAATATATACCATGACATGATATGAAACAAACTCATCTTGTATTTATAGGCACTAAAAGAAAATAAAACAATGCTTTGAACTTCTAATTAAATGGTAAAAATTTAAGAGAAATACCTTAAAACACTAATCCTGTATATATTACCTGAGAAACATATATCTATATTTCTGGTATTTTTTTGAAACAGAGCAAATTATTTTTTTCAAATTTTACAGTCTGCTATTTAAATCCACAAATTGAAATCCCTTCTACACTGCTTGCTATGTACTAATAATTTTATTTATTAAAGTGAGAAATACAAATATACACATATAAATCTTAATATTCAGGAGAAATATTAGACATATGAGTTAGGAATTAAGCTAGAAACATAGAAGCCCTTATGCCAATACAGAGAAAATTCCAATTTATGTTTTCCCCATGAGGGGACCCTGAGTTAATCTAATGAAACTGATTTATTAAGAACACTATGACAGGATAAACTTTTGAGTTTGGGAAGATGAACAGTGAGATGTGGATTGAGCATCATGTTATGAAATATTAAAGGATGTTTCAGAACATGCACTGCAGGCTCATCTACATCTGCTCCTTCCCAGTGCTTTGCTCCATCCCAGATCTCTGCCCCAAAGCTCCCTCAGAGTCTGCTCCCTCATGAACACTGTCACCCTGAGGAGATAACTTCGATCATGGGCATATCACTGCCCTTGTGCCATTCCCCACTCCTGCCCACCCGGTGTGAGGGTTTGGCTTAGGTAAGGTCTTTGTCCCTTATCCCAGGAGTCCAGTCACTCACTTGCAGATGCAGAGGGTTCCTCCACTTCTTCCCGCTGAGCTGCACTGTGAGGAAGGACATTAGCCTGGGCACCAAGTCTGGATGTACTGCTCATTCCCTGAGACCTTGGGGTAGGAGGGCAAAGGGAGGGTGAAGAGAGCTCAGGTCCTCCAACCAAGGCATTGAGGGAGACTGCAAATAATCACTTCTCCAGACAAGGTCAACATTTTAGAGACTTTTTTGTGGATCTGTATGAGGTTCATGCAAAACAGTGACCTTTGATGGACTTTTCTCAAATGAGCAGATCAACAGCTTCAGTTTGGTGTGGCAAGAGAGCCCAAGAGGCTGATCTCCTGTGGAGCCCAAGACCCTAAGCCATCACATGAGCTTTGTTAACTCTTAAACTTGGACTTGCATTATTTTGTAAATAATACAATAATAAGTTAAAATACAATAAGGGGAATTTTGTTACTTATATACTGCACATATTCCATATCTTTTATGTGGCTCCACACAACTTCTCTTTACTGTGACTCAGTCAAAACATTGAATGCACCTGGAAACACAGCTGATGTGGATGATATCATCAACGTGAAACTTATGGGAATGGAGTAGCACCTTTAGGAAGAAACTGGCTGCCTGGTGTTGAAACATTTCCCTGAAATTATAGAATTAACTGATTGTCAGGAAAAATAAGACATTTACTGAATAAGGCTAATGGTCAAATACTGCATGGAGCATCTCTGTCTCCTATCAAGTTTACAAATGAATCAAAATGATATTAGGAACAGAATCACTGTGCATCTTGGCTAAAATCACATAAATAAACTCATCTACTGTGAACAGAAAGTATAATATTGACAGCAAATGATGGCCAGTCTTGGGGGCACATGCCTCTTTCCAGAGACACAGGTGGCTGAAGAAGGAGGATTGTAAGAGCTAAGCCAGTTTGCACAACTTAAGAAGATCCTGTCTGAAAATTTAGAATTAATAAAAATAGTAATGCATAAGGCAGCAATGTAGCACACTGTAGAGCACTGTCCTAGCATGTGCAAGGTCCTGGGCTCCATTCTTAGCACTACAGTGACAGCAGCATTAAAAGGAAGGATGGCAGGAACTCCCTGGAGTATGGAGAATCCAGTCTGCAACTCTCTGAGCATGCACAATGTCCAGTGTGTCCCTGAGGACCAGTCCTGCAAAGAGGCCACTGGTGCCCCACTGGGTGTCACAGCAGGGCCAGGAGGACACTTGGTGACCTTGACCCTGTGGTATCCATGGATCTTGGGTGGATGTGTGCCCTTGATTCACCCACTAACCCCTTCTCAAGTGAAAGTCTGGCATTAAAGCCTCTGGTCATGTGCTTAGGCTGTGGCTGAGACAGGTAAGAGATTATTTGAGTCCTAACAAGGTACAGGAACTTCTACAGTCTAAGATGTGGCTAAAGAGAGAGGAAATATGAAATAAAGTTAAATGTTCTACATTCCCTCTGCTGAATCAGGTCTATGTCCTTTATTTGGGGGCCACTATGAGTAAAATTTGGGAATCTATGAGAAGTGTCACTTTTAACATAGATGCTGATCATTTACATGTGTGATTTAGTGAACAATGTAGGTCGACTGAAGACAAAAATTTTACCCAGTTGTAAACACAAACACACTTATATATATACATGTGCACTCACACTCACACACACTGTCATCATATTTATTAGGTCCCACACCCTTTAGGGAACAGAATAGACCCATTAGGAACAGAATAGACAAAATATATGATTGTAATTAGAATGTTGTCCTTCTAGTCTGAAGGTTTTAGTTGTGGGGATGGGATTTGGGTTACTCTGACTTTAGAACTTAGGCTTTGGGCAGACTCACTTGTATAAACAAGCCCATTGTGGGATTAACTCTTCACAGCCTGACTTGGGCATAATCAATATTATGGTCTTCTGTACCACTTCTCCTTAAGTGTTACAGAGCATAGGTTTCTTTATTCCTTCAGTTCACTGTTTTTGTTTTGTTTTGTTTTCCTATGAGTACAACAAGATCTCAAGGGAAATGCATTTTTATCTCCACAGTATTTTAACTGATGTAAATCTGTTGAATATAAAATATTTTTCATGTATGTTTTGTAAAACACTATATGATGAAACTCCACTAAAGCTTTTATGAGTTATTAATTTCTAAATACCACATTCAGATGAAATAGTAATGGAGTGAGAATGAATTTTTTAAATTTAAAAATAACTATTGAAAATAATTTAGATTTTCCTAGGAATCATGGATGTATCACAGTCATCCCTCTTTCTCCACCCACCACTGCCTGATTGTATTGCTTCACAGGTCACATTAGCAGTTTGTGGCCTTCACTGCTCCACAATCATCTCAGTTGTCAGGGAAATCATAGCAGCACCTGCACAGACACCTGTAGGTGTGGAGAGCTGATGTAGGCCACTGCAAGCCTGAGGCCAGCACTGGGCATACAGCCCCACTAGGGACATGCAGACTCTCCCCACATGGACAACCCCAGTTCAGGGTCACCCACTGTGCAGGCTGGGAGGAACCTGCAGGTCCTGTCCACCAGCACAGTGCACTTCCGTGCTGAGTGGGAGAAGGGGAATTATGTCAGACTCTGTGCCCAGATTGTGCAGAAGGGCAGCATGAATCTAATCTAGCCTGATTACATTCACAGGAGGAAACCCAACACCTGGCTGCCTGCTTAGGTTCCACCTCTGGCTGATGCTGATCCATCCTCCTGGGGTTTCCTGGGTGTTTATGACTTAGAAGGACACAGTAACATGCACCCTCACTGCGCACTCCAAATCCCTTCAACTCCTACATTCTCTGTATGGTCTCTGTATGTTCCTACATGGCTGAAAAAAACCTGCTTATCATTCTGAAGAGACTATCATGATATATAATAAAACCATACTAGAAATTACATTCTTCTTTTTTTACTAGAATCTGGTATAAAAACACTTGAAGGAAGGAGTCATCTCATGAAGGACTCAGTTCCAGGACACTGAAGAACAATGCTTGAATATTCTGCAGAGGAGATTTTCTTGGGTCACTTGGCTTCAATTTTATAAGACTGTAAGGTCACATACCTGCTGACAATTTGACTTCATTCTTGTAAGTGGGCATGCAGACACAGGCATGGTCAGAGTTTCAAAGCCGAGACACATGTGCTGGGAACCAGTGGGTTCCATGTCCTGGGAAGGCTGATCTGGGCCTGGGGTTATAAGGTTTCTGCCTGCCCTGACTAGGAATGGTCCCTCTGCAAATCTCTGAGTCATTAGGAGAAGCTGCAGGGCATGAAAACAGAAGAAATGAGCTGTTGGCAAAACAGGATGGAGAATTTTCTTGGTTTTTTATGCTGTTTTCTTTTTTGATATTTATATTCTTTTAAAAGTCTAACTTTGAGTTCCTAATAAAATTTTTAGTGAACCAAACTTAAAAATTAGTATATAAATGCTAAAAGTATATAAAAATCTGCTCTCAAATGGGAAGTAAAAGCATCACTAGTGGTCATGAACAAGTATTAAAATTTGGGTCTACAATTGAGATATTTCCATTCATTTACATATGTGCACCTTTCATGTAACTTTTCTTCTTGATGAAATCTGATTTTATAAGTGGACAAACTATCTGAGTTTCAATAAAAGCATTAGAGAAATATGTTATTTTGATAAATATACAGATTTAATATATTTTGTTAAAATATGTTTTGCTATCCTCAGGCAAATATGTGAGGTAGAAAATGGAAATCTTTTTTTCAAAAATTTGTTCTTTATTAAAGAGCTCTAATAGTTGAATATGTCAGTCTTAGTAAAGTAATGAATTGAAATAACTTCTTATTTATATGTACCACAGCACTGCAGGCACTCTCAGGAAAAGCTAAGCAAATGCCTGATGGAAAATTACAATGAGACCTCTACTGAATTCATCTTCTTGGGCCTGTTCCCCTCATCAAGCCTTGGCTTTTTCCTCTTCACTCTCACCATCCCCACATTCCTGATGGCCCTGTCTGGTAACCTGAGCATTGTCCTGCTCATCCTCCTGGATGCCCAGCTCCACACACCCATGTACTTCCTGCTTAGTCAGCTCTCCCTCGTGGACCTCATTTGCATCTGCACCACTGTGCCCAAGATGGCTTCTGCTTTCCTCTTTGGAAACAAGTCCATCTCCTTCATTGGGTGGGGGGTTCAGTGTTTCTTTTTTGCCATGTTACCAGGTTCAGAAGGACCTATTTTGATGTCTATGGCCTATGACCATTATGTGGCTATTTGCTTCCCTCTGGACCACCCCATCCACATGAACAGAAGAGTGTGTGTGCTAATGATCCTGAGATCCTGGGGAATGGATGTTGTCAACTCCTGTGCTCACATAGTCTACATCCTCTGTATCCCTTACTGCAAGTCCAGGGCCATCAATCATTTCTTCTGTGATATCCCAGCCATGGTGACTCTGGCCTGTGGGGATACCTGGGTCTATGAGTACCCTTTGTTCCTCAGCACTGTCATCTTTCTCCTGTTCCCATTCATGGCCATAGTGGGTTCCTATGTGGGAAATTGCTCCTTGCTGCCTACCCCATATGCTCATAGGAAGGCAGGAAGAAGGCCTATTCCACCTATAGTGCTCACCTCACAGGGGTGACTTTCTATATTGCACCCTTTTCTTACACATCTCCACCCAATGTCCTTCTGGTCTCCAGCAGAGGACAAGGTGGTGGCTGTCTTCTACACCATCTTCACCCCAGTGCTCAAACCTGTGATCTATAGCCTGAGGAACAAGGAGGTGCTGGGGGCCCTGGGAAGAGTGGCTGGGAAGTTCCATTCTACAAAAATGTAGTTAAATTTCTGCCTCAGTGTTATTGAGCAGTGGATAGGAACAAGAAAATTGTTTAATGTTGAGGCCTCAAAAATTAGAATTAAGGTTTAAGTTTTTTAAATTTTGAGGTATGATATAATAATTATGTGTTCTAGTATATACAATTTTGCCTTCTTATCTCATCTTTCCAATAAAAATATTGGGCATGAAGTTTTTTCATTTAGGGGCAATATTTTATTACTACGGACATATTGAAATGGAAAATGTGGAAAACTTTGCCCTCATTTTGAATGTGTTGCATGATTGAAACCTTTGTTGAATATTTTAATTTTAAAGTATTACTGCATGATCAGGGATTTAGCTAAGTGGCACTGTGCCTTCACAGAAGCGAGGTCATGAGTTGGATCCCCAGTACCAAAAAGAATTTAATGTAAAATACACATTGCTGTGAATCCCACTCAAAATACTCACACTCCTTTGAACCCACTTATCCCATTGTCCTTGCTACTTTTCTTACTCTGACCTCTCATAATTTATGTGATCAGATAAATCATGATATTGAATTTTCTTGTGTGCAGTGGAATATATAAAGGAAAGCTTCAGGAGTTCACATCTTCACCTACACATATCAATTACTACTGTACATCCAGAATTCACACTGACAGAGTATGATGGCACAGAGGACAGAAACTTCCTCTACCTCATGATTACCTGTAACTCCCATCACCTGCTGACCCACAGGATCTGTGTTCTCAATGCCTTACAAATCTAAATAATAATTCCCATCAGCATATAAGATTCCCACCTAAAATGCAGTGTTTTGAGTGACAATGGATAAAAATGGAGCATAATCCATGAAAAAATAGAATATTACCTGGGAATTCTTGATTCTTTAATGAAATATAACTGCACGGATGACCATTCATTAATCACAGAAATCCATCCATGTCCTATTCAATCTATGTAGGAATGGTTTGTCTTTATTTCACATATTGTCCACAGTGTTTTTGAAATAAGGTGTCACTGTTTTGCCCAGGGTAGCCTTTAGCTCCTGAGCTCAAGCAGTCCTCTTGCCTCAGCCTCCTGAGTGTCTAACCCATAGGCATGTGCCACTGCAGTATATAAACTTTTGTCACCCAAGTCTTGCTCTTTACGATGCAGAACAGGCTTCCTTTTAAAAATGGGTATTATTGTTCATCTAAAGAGCTGTGTGCTGTAGTAAATAATTCCTGTGTGTGAAAGCAAGACATTCAGAGATGATTAAGAGCAACAGCTGCATTTTACTCAAGGTTTGACTCCCAATTTCTTTCCACTTGAGCCCAAGCCCCTGGCCATCTATGCTCACTGCAGTCACAGTGTGGAAGGTGAAGGCTGGGTCCTGGCCCCTGCACAGCACCCTCAGGATGACAGCACCCTGTGTCTCCTGGGACAGGTGGGCCTCAGAGGGTGCCCTGGTCCTCCCATGTCCTGGCTGCCTCACCCTGTGTCACCCACACAAGAGTTTTGGCTCCCTGGAGACACTGCTGCCATGGTCAGACTGAGGCCCAGGGTCCCACATGCTCAGCTTCAGCTGTGTCTCCTCCTCAAGCTCCAGGCCCTGGTTCAGGGAGCTGGGTACACCACTGAGAAAGCCCCAGGTCATGGAAGCCTCCTCAGGCCCTATTCAACATCCAAGGTCTCTCAGCTCCTCCTCCTCACAGTTCAGTCTCCAGGGTCCTGGAGGGCCAAACAGGCCCTGCTGTAATACCCAGGTCAATTTGCTGAAGGTGACAGAGAGGAGCTTCAGCTTACAGACACCAGGGCAGTCAGTCTGTGAATTTTAACTTCAGGAATCATTTTGGCCTGGAATATCAACAATTCAAATATTGTTAAATTCTTATACAAAAATTTGGTGTGATGTTATTCATTTCTGAAGAAAATGCATAAATAACTTCTTAGAAGTGAGAAATTTGTGAACATGATTAAGCTTCTTTGTCACAAAAGCTAATTATTGAATATTTTGTGAATAATTCCCTACAATCTCCATAATAATATTTTAATTACCAATTTTAATAAGGATAAAATTGTTTCATAATTCAATGGACTTTTCCAAAGGAAATAATTGGAACCTTTAGAATAATGTTTATGTGATACTCTAAGATTTTCTACTTATATACTTTTATTAAATAGATTTCATTTCATGCAATTTCTCCCAATACAAAGTGAGAAATAATCAATACATGCAGGCACATCATACCCATGCATGCACTGAGCTACAGCATTAATACAGAGGCTGCCATGATAAACCAGAGCAGGACAGCCCAGAAAGATCCCCAGGAACCTGCCTGGTCCTCCTCAAGGGAATTTGGAGAGATCTCAGGGCCCCACTGGGGCCACAGCCTCAGGCCAGGCTGTGTCCTCCATGACTGGCTCCCTCCTGTCTGTCTCAGTGGACATTTCCCAGGGAGACAGCAGTCCTGAGACTCAGTTGGCAGCTATAGGAGGACAGAATCCTGGTGGATACTCAGTCTCCTGGAGGTCCCTGAAAAGCCAGGTGAGGAGTGAGAGGTTTATAGGTACACTTGTCAGGACAGAACTCAAAAGTTTGACTGAGAAACATGACTGTGTTCTCCTGTGACTGTGGGCTCATTGTCCACTGAGTGGATCAGGAGATCTGAGAGAGGTGGTCAGGGCATGAGGTGAAAGAATGCAGTTTGGACTGGCCCACTGATGTTCAGCTGAATTCTGGCAGAGGGAGGGTCAGTTGGAGGTGGCACTGATAGAGCTTAAGTCTCTTGCTGATTCTCCTTCCGACCCATTCAGCTCCCTGGCCACCTTGACCTGAGCAGCATTGTTTCTCCTGGCCCCTCCTCTATGAGCTTTCTGACTTGTAGCTGGCTGCCCATCAAATGCAGTCCAGAGCCAAACTAAACCTCTGTTCTCTATGACATGGGTATTGAGTGTGTCTTCCAGCAAGTTGAAAGCTGATCAGTGCAACAGCTAACCGAGGAAGTGAGTGGTTCAAAGTGGGGAGGAATTTTGGTAGGGATCCTAATTTTACTTTTATTTATTTTATGGAAGGAGAAATTCTGTTGTGTGCTTGAGAGAACTTAGCTTTAGAATCAGATTGGTATTTGAGTTTGAGGACCAGCCCTTGTGCAGCAGAAATCCTAGGTTATGAGGTGCAGACACCAGAAGCTAAATCAGCTCATCGTGACCTGTTCTCTGGATGGGGTGGCAATTATTTCATTATTCTCTACTGCTTTCTGTTTTACTTTACATGAATCCATTATATTGTGGTCAAATACCTGGAAATTATAAACCTTATTTCAATATGAAAATATGTAATGAACCTTATGGTAAAAGGAATATAGTACTGGTTAAATTACCAAAATGTGAAATAATAACTTAGTTTTCAAAATTTATAAAAGCCTTTTGGAAGTGATGCAGGCAACATGTGCATAGTAGCTGTATAGTTATCCAGTTTGTATTTAAATTCAATTTGTGCCAAATTGAGTGCTTATAATATTCATTTACTAAACTTATTTATCATTTTGCTTTCTGGACAGAACACACACTTTCAAAAAAACAATAATAGTATCTGCCTTAGGGACCAGCAAAAGCTTTTTGTAGAACCAAATGGGCCTGGTTCACAGAGACAATCTGAACTTGATGTCACTGTGCAGTCATAGTTGAAAACAATCACATTATATGGATGCTGATAATTTGGTTATGGAGATGGCAGCATTAGTGGGTGGAGACTCTAAACCCTCACCACTGTCCAGTGCTGTCCTCAGCCAAGTCACGGCCTGAATGTGCACACTGTGTGTTCCCATGGGCAGCCTGTAGGTGTTCATGTTTGTGTCTCTGCACACTCAGAGAGACCTGAGCACCCCATGTTTACCTTTCGGAAGGTCAAGGCCTGGATTACATGCAGATTTAAAGCTCATCTTTCTGCTGTGAACATGTACAATAAAGCAGAAGTCATTCTCAGTCCAGAACAAAATTCAAAGCACATATTAATGCAATTGATTTCTGTGCATCAAAAAGTGTCTTTCCACCTATTTCCATATTTGTTTTTTAAATACTAATTCATCCTTGTGGAACTTCTTGGAAGTATATAATTTAGAAACATCCAAGTACACACAAAAAATAATTACCAGGTATTGTAATCTTCTTAATACGATAAAAATAGTTCTTTGTCCTATTCTAGACAATGGAAAACTAGCTGTTGCAAATGTCCAATAAGATCACTTAATATTAGTCAGTAAAATGACACAGAACACTGTACACTTGCCATACCTCCTCCAGTGGAATCTGTCATGAAACTGCAGAGAAGGGGAATCACACTGGGTTTATGCACACACTGTGAGAATGCTCCTCCCTGACTTCTGAGATTCTACAACAGTCATTTTACAGTGTGGTGAATTCTAGTTCACCGGGGTGAGTGCAGAATATTTCTCAATATAGGTAGGGAGACTCAGGCAGGACCAGTGTTGTACATGGAGCTGTGGCTGGCTTTCCTGAGTCAGAAACTTCAAGGCTCTCCCCACATTGCTGCCCCCATCCTCAGGTTGACCGGTAAGCCAGGAGAGTATGGAATCCTGAGAATAGAAAAGTGATTCAGATTTCTCCAAAACAGAGTAGATGGTGTCATGGATGTGAGAAATAATATTTATTTATTCAATTAGTATTTAAATCCTTGCCAGTTTGTTTCATTTAGAGGCTTTAAATTTCAATCTGAGCTTCTTTAGAAAACTCTCTGCAATGTGAAATTGAGGAAATGTATGTTTTGATAAGTTCAGGGTCTTGCTCCACCTCTATATATGATTAGAACAAATGCAAAG